CTTTGCTGTTTTATTATTTCTAAATCTCAGGCTTATGTACAGGAGGTAAGAGCACTGATGAAATTAAAAAACAGACGTAAAATGGCCTGGCTGCTGTGTCCAGAAGACCACATGGGGCAGTGGCCCTTGCCCTACCCCCTACCCTCCGGGACCTAGGGGTCTCTTGGCACTTTGTGTCTCCTAGTGACCAGCTGTCAGCAGCTCCAGCCTGGCACTGTGGGGCACATCTCTGGCCACCAGGCACCCTTGCAGCCTGCTACCCTTTCCTTATCAGGTGGATTTCATAGCTGCCCCGGCAGAGCTCAGGGCACAGTCTACCATCCTGTCTCCAGAGGGCTAGAGTGGCCAGAGGTCCCACAGACTTTCTTAATTTTATTTCTCCCTTTGCTTCAGGGCCATCATGACTTTGTTTTGATTTTAAATTTTACTTTTAATTTTAAAATGGAACATGCAACATTTCCTTTAAAAGTTATTATTTGATTAGCAATTATAAGCCTAATAACCATTTATTTTGAAATGCTAATGCTCACACCAGAAAATTTCCACTGTATATAGTATCATTTTGGTACATTAAAAAAATGTTGCTAAAAGAGATGATTTGGAAGAAAATATCCAGATTGACATAATCTTAACAAAGCAATTTCTAAAGAAAAAACTGAAAAGTTATACAAAAAAACTCTCCAATGGTTGAGTCATTGAGGTCTTTGAAATATTAAAAAGCCAATTGCTTCCAAATATTATAATAGTAAACATTTACTTTCAGAATGTGGAAAAATACGACTCTAGAGATTGTGCAGGCCCAAGTATCTTTGAACAGTTACTTAGATTCTGTAAGCCCTAGTTTCCTCATTTATAAAATAAGGATAATAATACTATCTATGCCCCAGGTTTTTACTCTAATAAATAAATAAGACAATATGTGTAAGGCATATGGCGGAGTCCAACACCAACACATGGTGTACGATCAACATAAGTTGTTGTCATTATCACTGATAACACTGGAATAGCACTCATACCTAAGAATCCACAGCCTTCCTCCATGCTGGCATTAATGTAGCAAAAAAAAAAAAAATGTAAAAAGACCTTACATATAAAAGGAATAAAGACCAGAAGTAAATGTATTGAAAAAAATCTTTTGCACAAAAATTTTGCAAAACTCTTTTAAGACATCTTAATGCATATTAATACATAATTTAGAGAGACATACTCTACCTAAATGAGAACACGTAATGTTAAAAAGATATCGTTCTTTACTGGACCCAATGGAACACACCTGTAATCCCAGCAGCTTGGGAGGCTAAGGCAGGAGGATTGCAAGTTTCAGGCCAGCCTCAGCAACTTAGTAAGGCCCTTAGCAACTTAACAAGAATAAAAGGACCGGGGTAGCTAGGGCTGTGACTTAGCGGTAGAGTGCTCACCTAGCATGTGCGGGGTGCTGGGTTTAATCCTCAGCACAACATAAAAATAAAGGTACTATGTTCAGCCACAACTAAAACAAAATATTTTTAAAAAGGGACTGGAAACTAGCACATGGTAAAGCACCCCTGAGTTCAATTCCCAGTACCCTCCCTAAAAAAACATTCTTCCCAAATTAATGTATAGGTTTAACACAATTTCAAATAAAGTATCAAAGAAATGAATCTATATTGTTACTCTGGCAGAATAAATGAGAGAAAAGTTAAAAATCATAAAATAAGAAAAAGAATGATGAGGGGAGCTTCAAGATTAATAATGAAAATAGTTTGATACTATACTTTTTTAAAAATTGTAGATAGATACAATATCTTTAATTATTTTTATGTGGTGCTGAGGATCAAACCCAGGGCCTCGCAAGTGCTAGGTGAGTGATCTACCGCTGAGCCCCAGCCCCAGATTTGATACTATACTTTTTAAAACATAATGTTATGAATGGAATAGCTGTCTCTGCCCTGCTATGTATAAGACCCTCAGGAGTCAAAAATCACTTGCAAATTGATAGGAGAGGATGGGGTGGACTTGCGGGGGTAAATATTAACCCCACCTTGCTACTCTCTACTCTCATGGAGCAAAAATGCCAGCTAAACTTGTGCCAGGATGCTGTCCTAGCCATGTCCTGACTTTAGTTTGAGAGTAGAGAAAGAGGAATTCAAGCCTTGGAGTTCAGATTTTGCCTTTGATATTGCTTGAAATTTTTACATTTGTTAGGGATTGCCTCCTTGGTATGATCAAAGATCCAAAGAACAACAAGACAAAGGTCTTTGCAGGGGATCAGAGGTCACGGGTTACATGCTGAGCCTCACTTCAGATCTAACCTAAAGGGTCAGGATGAGAGATGACATAATCCTGGTCCAAAATTATCTTACTTCTGCCAATAAAAACTGTCCTAACTTATCCCAGGGACAATATGAAGAAATTATTCTGTTGCTTATATTTCAGTTACAAAAATATTTTGATGTTAGGATTTGAGTCCCTGGGTTCGAGACTATTGCTTAAAAAATTACCAAAGGTATGATTTTTTTTTTTGTGGTAATTGGAATTGAACCCAGGGTTGGTCTGTCACTGAACTACATCCCCAGTCCTTCAAAATTTATCTTTAAATTTTGAGACAGGGTCTCATTAAGTTGCCTAGGCTGACTCAAATTTG